ACCCCTAACTGTAAGTAAATAAGTGTATAGTTATGTATTAACCATTATTATTATTATTATTGCTATTCTATGCGTGTTTTATACCACAATCTTTCTGTTATATTCTAATATTAAGAGTAGTATATTACTGTATGTGAGTTACAAAATAAATAGTATTTACACATAATAAAATTTTTAATATATTGATAAAAAAAATAGATTTAAAAATCTATTTGATCAGACATAAATATACAATATACTCTACATCTGTGCATTTACAATGTTCATGCTTGACATAATTGAATATGATTTATTTTTCATTCTATAATCATTGTCGAGATAACCGACAGACAATTGTCTATTGAATAGACTAACAATGCATTGCATTTTTGTAAGTAACGAGGGTGGTAAATAATAATCAATAAAGTCCATTTGAGTTTAGATTTGCAATACAATGTACAATATGTTGCATGAAGTACAATGTTAAAAACAATATTAAATTATGCTTGCTTATAAAGTATTTAGTTAAATTATAAATTATAATTTCTAATGTTGGCAAATAAAATAAAATTTGCTATAAATTTAAAGCATACTATTTTAAAACTGCTAACATTTAAATTGCTAAAATTTTATTACAAATTTTTACAAATTTAATTTATAATTTTTTCTCTTAAAAAAGAATTTTTTTAGTATAAATTGCAAAACACGTTAACAAATAAATATCGATAAAAATATTTAGTAGTATTTATTATCAAAATTAAATACCATAAATAATAATTAAATAAAATATAATAATTATTTTTTACAACTAATTAAACAATATTAAATTTTAAAGTAGATTAAACATTTAAATATAATATCATGCTAAATTATTACACGACGTTGTAATCAATTCATTGGTGGCGCGACAGTAGTTGTGTGCGGAATGTGAACCTCGTGTATAACAGGATCGGGAGTACCGGTAATACCGTTCAGTTCACGACTAATAGTCTTAATCAACGGGTGTTTAAGTGGACCGCAATAGCCGTGAAAGTCGTCGGTGTCTATCGACCAGACCATAGCTCCGCCCAAACCCTTGGCCTTTAGGTACTCGAGCTTATCCTGAAATGTCTGCTCGTCGTCATAACCCACCCATTGGTTACCCTTCACGGCGTACACTATCTTTTGGGTGTTGTCCCTATAGGCTGTCCATCCGGCCTTCAAATACTCGCAAACCTGATCCAAGTTTGTAAAATAGTATATTAATAATAATAACCTAGGGACATTATTGGAAATAAACTCACCTCGTTATAGCCCAACATTCCCGCTTGGTTAGTGTACGGACCAATGTTGCCGCCTTTGCCAACAGCGGGTGCGCCCAAACCGTGATTGTTGGGATCGGCCAGGGTGAATGAGCGGCCAAACGTGGCAAAGCCCATGTTCTAGATTAATAAATCACATAATTGATTTTTAATACAAATATTATTAATGCCTAAATTATAGATAACTTACCAACTTTTTGGGACTTAAACCCAGTTTCAACCAATACTCAACTCCATAGGAGACGGTTAGAATTTTTTGTTTCTCATCGGCCTTAGGGTCGGCATACAGGGGCGCGTTATGGCCTATAATTATTACATATGACAGTTAAAAATATATTCATACTATATTTGCATAGAAAAACCGTAAACAAATATACCAGTAATATTTTCAAAAGAGCCGCCGTGAAAATCGTAAGACATTATATTGATAAAGTCTAATAATTGATCAAGTTGTTTGACATCATAGGCCACATCAATGGTTGCTTTGCCGGCACTGACCGCCGCAGTCAACAGATAGTTATGCGGTTTGAGTGCCGCCCGGAGTTCTCGCAACAACTCTATGTAATTCTGTTTGTCTTTTGGGTCGCCGGGTGTCCGGTCGTGATCGGGGCCCGTCTCGGCCGCGAAGCCAGGGAACTCCCTATTAAATCATATTTACAATTATTTATACTAGTTAATAAATAATAATACTAAGTATATGATATAATACATACCAGTCCACGTCCAGGCCATCAAACTTATACTCTTTCAAAAACTTGACCACAGAGTTGACAAACTGTGCCCTCGAGGCTGCGTTGGCGGCCATTTTTGAGTACTTGTTTGAGCCCTCATTCCAGCCCCCGATCGATATCAACACCTTTAGGTCGGGGTTCACGTCACGCAAGTGCTCAGTGCGCCGATAAAAGCCTAAATTATACATAATTTAATTTTTGTAACTAGACCAAACTTTTATAATGTGCATACCTCGACCCCATACTGGGCTACTTTGCCAATCGGTGTCACCAAGGTCCAAACCCTCTTCATAAACGGCGATCTCGTTGTTATCGCCGAGTTTGGCGAAACCGTACATCATATGCGTGCATAATAAGGGGTTTGCCATTTCCGGCTCAAACTGGATACATAAAGGTGAATGTTATGTTATAAATTGGTGAATTAACTATGTCAAATTATACGAACTGACCCTGCCACGAGCTTGGTGCATGTCTCGGTAATACGCCCATGAGCCAAAATAACAGACAACTCTGTAGGGCGTGTTGTTTGTTTCTAATTAGGAAATTAATAAAGTAAGTTTATTAATAGTTATTTTACAAATAACAAATTTAACATGATTGTAAATTACCATTTAGTGGCGCTGCGCTAATGACACTAATTAAGACAGCTATGATACTCAAAACGGTCAACATTGTTTTAATTTGAAATTTTGTTTCAAGTAAAAATAAACACAATTATTATTCATCTAGTCTAGTTGCCGTGTTTATATACTTTTTACAAAACGAATCTGTATAATTCACTTATACAGTATAAGTGTAGCAATTAATCAAGATTGATTATTTTATATTTATAAAACAAACTATTAATAATTTTCCTAATAATTGCTGATCCGGTAATTCTTTATTAATCCGGTATTAGGCGAGGGCTTTGCAATTACAAGTGTTTACCATGAGTGTTTGCAGATAATGTATTAATTGAACCTAGCGTTTCATTTCAAACTAACTATTAGCTAATTATTATTAGTTGTCAACTTGTTAATCCTGTTCAGATAAGAAAATAAACTATCAACTTTTCTAGGAAGCCTAACTATAAGTGTATGTGAGTTTAAATGTTTAGTGCATTTGATTTCATTAAGGTGAATTAATTTATTATATTTGTTTTACATAACTATAATATAATCGTTCCCCTATTTACTCAAACACACCAAAAAGTGCACACAAATACAACAGTATAGCAGTATTATACCGTACAATAGGGGGTGGGAGGGTAGTGAAAACTATAGAGGGGGATAGAAAACAAGAGTAGATAACGTGGTTTACGGGCTGTACTCGTAATTATTATTTTAAAGTAAAAAATAGATTATTTAATATTTAAAAATTAATTTATACTTTATTAAATTCAAAATTTATGTTTTACATCGTATATTGTTGGCATGTAGTTTATTGCGACAAGCTCATTTGTATATTTAAATTTTTGATAGGTTTGCTATTAAAATATTTATAACATTTAAAAATATTTTTTTAAAATTTTTATTGCATTGAATTTTAAACCTAATACGGTATATTGCGACAACATGGTTAAAACCTTTACCCTAGTCAACCCCTGTCCACTCATTTATCATTATCACATTAATATAACAGGCTAATAATGTTGTCAAAAATCAAACATGTCAATTAAATTTGTAATTTATTTAATATGTGTAAATTAATTGTTGTATTATAATAAATAACATTGAGATTCATATATAATATAAATTCAATAATGTTTTATATTTTGTTGCAAACAATAACAAGTAATAGATGTCACTAATTATTATTGTATTATTAATATAACAATTAACGCAATATAATAATAACAATTTTATCATCATAGATTATTTCGTTAACATTATTGAATTAATCAAACTAATATATTAACTAATAATTATAATAATAAACATGGTAATTATTAACATTACTGTCAACTCCCACCCCTTGCCCACAAAAAAAACATGGGTGAAAATAAAAAACATTAAACACCATAGTTGCATTCAAAACGTGTGCATTTAAAATTGCATATTCAGATCGGCGTATGAGATGTAGATGTTGGTTAATTAATTAAATAGACCCTGATCATCTAGGGCAAACAGTCCCAGAGTATTTGCCGGGTGGGCTCGTTCAGCGAATCGGGAAACTTGATATCAAACGTGACCACAATATCGCCCCGTTTGGCGGTGTCCTTGGCGTGGGGCAGCCCGTGGCCG